TCTTTCTAGTTCATTCATATACATGTGTTGCAATAGGGTTTGTAGAGTCAATTTTTTATTGCTTTTCTGTAAGGACGGTCGTCGATGTCCCATGTTTTCCTGTCTAGGGCTGTATCCAAGGGTGATGGGATCGAGGAAGTGATTCTCCTTCAAGTGTCGAGTGGTGCTTCGATTGTAACTTGCTCTCGAGGTGGTATTTATCTCTATTTTTTTCTTGCCCCGCATTTTCCCCATCACTCCCAGCCGCCCCTTCATTACTACAATCACACAAAACAACCTCCTTTTTTGTTGTTTCTGCAGTTCCTTCTATTCAGCCGCCTTCCCCCCTCTTTACCCCTTACTGCAGTCGAATAGAACAATGTCCCGTTGTTGTTCTTTTGTTGTCCTCCTACAGAACCAGCTGTCATCCACCCCTTGTGTTGTTTCATGCAGCCTCCACCCTTTCCCAACCTTCCCGCATCGCTCCCAATCGACATTCCTCATTGTCTCCATCTAGGACAATAGAAACTTTTGTTTTTCTGTTGTCCAGCCACCTCCTGCTCGTTGTCATTCCTAGAAAACCACTCCAATAGCTGTTATACTTCATCCTAGTGCCCATGCCATCCTTCCCGCCACTTGCCACTCATTCCAAACGCCATAGTCGAGCACCACCATTGGATTGAACCCTATTCTGAGTTTGTGTGTCGAGTATGTTGTTTATTTCTCTTTCAATGTGTTGATTGTAACTGTCTATTAGCTTCTCAGTAATAATATTTATTTGTTTATTGTTGTTTCAGTTAACTCTGATATCTTTTGGTATCAGAGCTAGTGTAACATAGTCCTATTATAAGGTTTCTAGCATGCACCAATATCCAACCACACATCCACACAAAAATCCTTCCCTTTGCTAATTTTTCAAACCAACCACCCAAAAACTTTTTTCTCCACATTACATCATCCCTATACACCCTCTTCCAGCTGCCCAAACCTAAACAACGACAACCAAAAGACAATTGTGGGAGACCTGTTCAGGAGGAAATGCCACAATGTTGTTCATGAGAAAACCACAAAGATGTCTGGAAATCTTCTATAGAGGATGTGCAACAGGAAATCCTCCAACTACAACAAAGGCTTACCGTTATCGAAAGAAGGTCATCTAGAAGGGTCATATGTAGCCACCACAATGACTTGCCAGATCGAGATAATGCAGTGGACCACTTCTACCAGGTAGATTCAAAAGATGAAAAATTAATACCCCAAAGATTTGGCATGAAATATCTGAGAATCCAAGATTTTGAAGAAAAAGTGACTGTCATATTTTCATGGCCACTTGGATTCGGACGAGTTGATCAAGTGGCTCTAGATAGTCGAATGTGTATTTGAGTACCAAGAAATCCCGTCGGATATAATGATGCAACTAGCCTCCAGCAAATTAAGAGTGCATCTTTTTTATGACAAAATCTGAAGATTCTTCGACAGCAAAAAAGGAAGAGCAAAATTACAATATTGTCGAAGATGAAACGAGAAATGTAGTGTCAGTACCTATCGTTTCCTTACAGACAGGATGTGCGGACACTAATTTCAAAAGTGGAGAGACAATATCACTAGAAAACCGCCACAACTTACAGATAGAGTTCAATCCCATGATCAAGCCTCCATAGTACACAAGGGGAACATCCAAGCCGACCCCGTCTAAAGAGACACTAGTTCAAAGTAGAGAACGGGTGAAACCAATCTGCATTCCCAAATCTGTCCCAGCCAAGGAGTGTTTCAAGTGCCACGAGTTTAGGCATATTAAATCAAATTGCTCAAACAGGAGAGTGATCCCTTTCACTGATTAGGGAGCAGTCGAAGTAATAAACAACGATCCAAGAGAAGATGAAAATTTCATAGAGAATGCTCGAGTTCCAGCAGACGAGAAAGAGATGCCAATAATTCGAACTGAACCCAAGAGAGAAATTCAAACCGAATCAGCCTTGGTTGTGCTAAAAGGTAGTAAATCTGAGGTAATGAGCATTCATGCAGAGTATGCGGTTATGGTGCCTTGAACTACCTTTTTGCAGGCATTCAAAGAAGCATTCAAAAGAGTCATGAATTTGAGGAGTCGATGTCAGGCACAAGGCAACCTCAGATAAGAAAATTTCATAATTTGTAGATATATATAGCCTACCTCATGAGTTGCAATTAGTGCAGGACGTCCAACATGTAAGACATGAAACTCTTCTGCACAACTCCTGGAAGACTATATAGAGTCATTTGAGTATTAAAATCAGTTCAGCAATGTCCACGTCGATAGATGATCAGACATGATGAATGAATCACAACATTAAAAATTGCCTTAAGATCTTTGGGGGAGAGAACATCCTATAGCGGAATCCAGGCTATATCTGAAAAGAAGAAGGGGTGGGTTTCTACTGAGTGGCTAATGTTCAATGTGATCCAACTCATCATAGATATCATTCCAGAGTTGATTCCTCCTGACGAACTTGTTTATCAGGTGCATTCAGTTGTGTACAAGAAGTGGAAGAAGAATGTTACTGTAATGCCTCGTTTCATCTCGTTGAGGGAGTTGAAGAGGGGTAAATGAAGCGAACAGTTAGAAACACGAAGGGGTATCGCGGGGTTGGGGGAAATGAAGCTTCCGGCTCCTCGTAAATAAAATAATGGAAAGCAATATAAAGTTAATAGTTAATCAAAATAACAAACTAATTAATTTTTAATAAAATGAATGCCCATATTTATTATAGGCTTCAATTTTAAAAGAGTCGAGGTTAAGGCGAACAAATTAATCGACATTGAAGTGAGTATTGTTCTTAAATTATAGTATTATTTTTCTCTTCTAAATGAGTTGTATGAATTGTTATTGATGCTTAATTATGAAATTGATTTCCTCTTTTCTTAAATTTTATCGATCATTTCGATATGAATACTTGGAGTCTAATATTATGAATGTTTTATATTTTATAAATAGATATTACGTATTGAGTGATATGAAATTTCGAATTATATGAACTATGAATACTTGGAGTCTAATATTATGAATGTTTTATATTTTATAAATAGATATTACGTATGTTTAACTATGATGGAGTCGCTCTTTCATAGTACTAGCAAAGAAACACTAAAGTATATGTGGAAGTAAATGGAAAATGATATTGATATCGAAGTACCTTAAGTGATATAATTTTTAGACGGTGCTCCTGTAATGATTGTACAGATATAAATAATATAGACATGTTATTGATATAGTCAAATACCTTACATATAGAAAATCATAAGTGATTAAATTCATGAACTAGCAAATAATTTATTACTAATTTATTAAGGGCTTAACTGACATATATATTATTTTCTCTTTTATTGTGTTACAGTTGTCTAGAAGTGAGAGTATTCACTGACTATCGTTAGCTCAATGTTATTTTAAACTAATATTAAGTGATTTAAAAGATAAGCAATAAAAAAGAAAATTTATAGAATGCATGGACAACCAGTAATGAGATAAATTTAATTGTACTATTTTAATTTTCTTTCTTTGGTGACTCTTTCATTAACTAAATGTTAGCTGTAAAAAATTAATATATCGATTTTTAATTCCCACCGTCCGACAATATGTACCCTCCTTGGTCAATTTCATGCTTTAGGTCGGGTTGTGACGGTTAACAAACTTAAAGGCTTGATAATTACTTTGCGGAAAGTTATAGTTATATCTAACTCAGGCTCAGGCTGTGGCAAAAAAGAATGAAAATTTATTCTATCAAGATATGTTTTGGAATAACAATGTCTGCAAGTGTGATTTACCAGGAAGTTACAGTGGCTCCACCGTCAACGTGGTTGAGCTGCACTATATTACGAGGAGCTAGAAGCTTCAAATCTCCCCCAATCCCCGAACGATTGACACGATGGCGCTCACATGCGGAGGCGTGCGATCCTGCATCCGCGGGTATCGCAAGGCCTGTGACCGGGGCCAAACAGAGCTGAATCCCTTCTTTTATTATTCTTTCCAATTTTCAACATGTTTCTTTGTATCCTCTCTACCTTTCTAATCATTTTCTATATATATATAGGGTTCAGAGAGTTGGTTTTTTATTGCATTTTGGTCAGGACAGTCGTCGGCATCCCCTATTTTCCCGTCTAGGGATGTATACAAGGGTGAGGGGTGATTCCCCTCTAAAAGTCGAGAGGTTCCGGCTGTATAGCGCTCCCTAGATGGTATTTATCTCCGACTTTCTTTGTCTTGCAATCCACCCCATCACTCCCAGTAGCTCCTTTTGTGATGCATTCGCCCAGAACAGCCTCTTTTTTGTTGTTTCTACAGTCCTGCTATCCAGCCATCTTCCCCCTCTCTTCCCTCCTTATCGCAGCCGCATAGAAAAGCACCCCATTGCTGTTCCTGTGCTGTCCTCCTGCAGAACCAGCGGCCAGCCACCCATTGTGTTGTTTCATGCAGCCTCCACCCTTCCTAAACCTTCTCGCATCGCTCACAATCGCCGTTCCGCACTGCTGCCATCCTGAAATCAGCAAACCTGATGTTCTCCTACTTACCAGCAGCACCCCTACTCACTGATCCTCCAGAAAACCGCTCCAACTACTGTTATACTTCATCTCAGTGCCCATACCATCATTTCCGCCACTTGTCACCCCTTCCAAACCCCATAGCTCACCACCACCACTGGATTGAACCCTAACGTTAGTTTTTGTGTTTGTGTCTACTGTTACTTTCCCTTTCAGTATGTTCATTGTAACTGTCTATTAGTTTTTCAGTAATAATATTTGTTTGCTTATTATTATTCGGGTTAACTCCGGTATCACCATTTGTTTCAAATGAAACACAAATTAACCAAATAGACCCTTATAATTTGTCCCCCAAAAATAGTTCTGCATATCAAAGGTCACAAAATAACCAACAAGAAAACAAATACAATATCAAAAGTAATGCTTAATAAACATATTTGCAGGATCAATGCAAGTACGAAAGATTTCCAAAAAAATTTGATATTTCACACAGTAAAACAAGCACTTACAAGATCAATGGGCAACAGATCTTCTTCAATAAAAAGCCTCTCTGAAAGTTTAATTTTTGATAATTGTTCAGCGATAGCATGCAAATCCAAGTTGAGGAATGGTATCTGAGAGTTCACAAGTAATTAGCGAGAGCAAGTGCCAAAACATTACTGTGATTGCATATAAAGAAAGTGCGTGTAAAAAATAGTTAGAGAATAAAGTGAAAATGAAACCTACAATGCCCAATGCCCAATCAAATTGCACAACGCTTCTACATAGTTCTTATAAGTGAAACGAATCTTCCCATATGAACAACTATACATAATTTCCGTACTCCCATGAAAAATAAAAGACGTTCAATCTAAGACAAATCATAACTGGCTGTATTATAAGCGATCAAAATAATCTCAATAGATGTAATTCAGTTTTTTTTTTCTTTTTCTTTTTTTTTATTTGCTAGAAAGTTTCCTAAAATGAAATACAAGTATCAAGAAAGAGGGAAAAGTAGAGGAAGGGTAAGAAGAACAATCTCATGAAGAAGAACTTGAATTTTTTTTTAAATATACAGTAGTAGTGACAGAAATGAGACCTACTAAGAAAGAAAGATGTATGACAGAGCTAAAAAAGATAAATTAAGTAATGATTATATTATAAGAAAAATTAGAGTGATATTTGTTGAAGACAAGCTAATTAAAAAGATATTTGGGTTTGGATATGTACAATAAAGGATAAAAAATGCATCCATTAGAATAGTTAATACCAAAGTAACTAGAAAGAAGAAAGAATACGTTTCAGGTAAGGTAGATAGAAGTGGTTCAAACAACTTGCAAGAATTAAATTTTAACCTCTCATATGTCAATAGAAATAAATAGAAACAAGAATTAATAAAGCCCATCACAAAATAGTTGCAATAAGCCTAATAATGATGAAAATGGCGAAAAAAAAAAACAACAAATCAAAATCCTAGGAAATATCTATACCCAGTGCATTATTGTTATTCACCAATTAACTTAAAAATTTAACAAAATGAAATAAACTAAAATTCGGGCGACATAAGTTTTGAAGCACCACATTATTGACGCTAAAATTTTTTAGGTATGTTCATTATTTACGGTTAGAAAAGAACTAAAAATGGCATTACCATATGTATATCTTTTGGTATACGGAATGAAACCTATCTCATCATATGCTCCCATCAATAATTAAAAGCTTAATAAAATCAAAAACTTATTTCTTATTAAATAAAACTGTAATGTAAAAGCTGGTGTCAAGGTATTAAGAAACACTCGTGTACTTCAGCATCAAGTTACAAAGGACTCAATCAGTTAAACAAACGAAATCATCCTCAAATCCAAATCCAGTAAGAACCTTAAAACATGAGACTTCGTTAAATAGTTTCTTCAAGAAGCCCACGCTAATTGCTAAAGTATTGCGAGCAAAAGCATTCACCATAAAGCTCAAGTAGGAACAAATATAAATTTGGCACTAGGAAGTGATACGAAGATGCTTAACCAATGAAACAATGCTATGAATTTCCTCGAGTTAGTGGTGCCCGAGTTGTCACCAAAACCTTTGGGGCATTCACATAGATACCACCCAAATTCTATGCATTTACATATCTAGCACTTAAACTTTACTTTTTTACATTTATACCACCTAAACTTTTATGTCATAAAAAAACCACTATGTTAACATTTAAAAAGTGAAATACATTTTTTCATGCATACGGTGACATATGTAAAAATTGAAATTTAGGCGTTAGATATGCAGAGACATTGGAATTCAATGGTATACATGTAAAATCTTCCAAACCACAGATGTGTGATCAGAGGCTTAAGAGAACGATGACATCAAGAGATGCTTAGGAAGCAACAGAGATAAGATGGTAAAAGAATAGCAAATAATACTCTCCAAAGAAAAAATGAATTTAATACCTCATAGCTTGAAGTAAGGTCATCATCCACAACAAAGTTGTCATCTTTGCACCGAAATAGAAGATTCTTACTTCTTACAGTACGGATAGAGCTTACCCCTTTCATGAAATCTAAAAACAGAAAATCAATGTTACTTAAATTTTAGGAGCACAAACAAATATAATCCATGACAATGCATTTATCATGTTTAGTGCAGAAAAGCCGATTAATAAGCATTGTTTTTGCAAGTAAAATATTTTCTATTAACACTTTTACAGAGTGATCCTACCAACATTTATGATTTCTGTTACAATTTTGGATTTCCGCTGCTTTTATCTATAGCTGTTACAGGCTGATTTCTGTTACCAACATTTACGATTTCTGTAAGAACCTTCAACTGTGCAAGTCGCAGACGCTACTAATATGACATTTAAAATGCTGCTAATTGCATATGAATATTATAAAAAGTTATGATCTTCTTACAGAAGGAGGTGGATTGCCCTAAAATTGAGTTTGTGCCCTCAATACCACTGTTTACAACATTAAATATAGGATGAATAAAAATATAAATATAAAAAACTCTATAGAAAGCTTTCGCAGACGCTACTAATATGACATTTAAAATGCTGCTAATTGCATATGAATATTACAAAAAGTTATGATCTTCTTACAGAAGGAGGTGGATTGCCCTAAAATTGAGTTTGTGCCCTCAATACCACTGTTTACAACATTAAATATAGGATGAATAAAAATATAAATATAAAAAACTCTATAGAAAGCTTTCGCAGACGCTACTAATATGACATTTAAAATGGAGCTTCTGCATGTCAGTTGTAAGTCCCCTCTAGTTTGGGGTTTGATTCCCGCCGGGTGTAGGGTGTGGTACTTGAATTCTTGGGTGCACGAGGGATGGCCGAGACTCGTATAATAGTCTGCGACCATTCCTTTATATATATATATATATATATATGATACCGGACACACTTAAATGGGAAAAATACAACACGACATCTAGAAATCTAAAGTGACAACAGACATGACACAACAAACTCGAACTCAGCTGGATCTTGGGGTGGTGGTTGTGATCGGCGAGGGTTTTGATCCACCGGAGAGGTAGCAACTAGTGGGGGAAGGGCTCCAAGGCATGGCGGCAGCAAAAGGTGTGTGGGTAACCGTGAGGGAAAAGTGTGAAGCTACAGGAACTGCAAGTGCAGATGTTATTCTAGGAGAGGGCAGCAAGAAAGAGGGTGTTGGATAGCAATGAAGTGGTTGGGAGTTGCGGCAATGGCGGCAAGCTGGAATGAGATAAATGGATGGTTGGACAGCTGGAATCGCAGGTGAACAGCAAATAGGCGTTGTTTCAAGTGGCCGTAGTAAGAGGAAATGGCGGCGGCAATGGAGGGTGATGCAAGGCGTGACGCCTCATCTTGTTTTCACAGGGGAGTCCAAGAGAGAGAACCGAAGAGAATGAGAGGAAGCGTGGGTCAGGAAGCCGAAAAGAGGGAGATAAAGAGAGAGGGTCGAAAACACGAAAGGATACTTTCATGTATAAAAATGACGTGTAGGAGGGTCGGCAAAGACTAGATTTACTTACCCGAGAGGCGAACGGCGTGTGTGAGGACTCACGAGTGCAAGCTAGGGATTTCACCTAGTTGGCATCATCAAACAAAGTCTTTGTCAATGAGAAAGGAAACGGTGTTGGTGTCAAGCAGAGGAGTCGGCGACAGTGTTGTGCAACTGATTAAAGGAAGGCGAGCAGAAGAGGATCTTGTGCGCGTAGGAAGGAGGCAGAACGACATGCACAGAGGAGAGAGATGAAGTTTTCACATGGTATAGGGCTCTCGATTTTTTAATATTCCATTTATTTTGGAAAAAATTAAAATATGTACATTGAATAAAAAGAGAAGTAATAATACAACAACAACAAGAAGCTTTTATCCCACTAAGTGGGGTCGGCTACATGAATCTTTCTTCTTCATTGCATCCTATTGAGTATCATATTTTCATTTAATTCTAATAAATTAAGATCATTTTTTATACAATACATCCAAGTCTTTTTAGGTCTATCTCTTCTTAACATAAGTTGAATCTAAAACATCTACCATCTTAATAGGATCATCAGATGGTCGAAGTTTAATGTGACCAAACCATCTAAGACGACTCTCGCTAATATTTTGTGTCATTGGAGCTACACAAACGCAATCATGGATATATTCATTTCGCATTCTATATCAAGCCACTAATACATGTAAACATTCTCGACTCAGCAATACATAAGTTTGTTTTATGCTTCTTTTTTAGAGGCCAACATTCTGTGTCATAGAGCATTACAGATCTCACCACCACCTTATAAAAGTTTCCTTTCAGTCTAAACGATACTTTTTCTACCACACAATAGGCTCGATGCTTTTCTCCACTTCAGCCAATCAAACTTGAATTCTACTAATAACATCCCCATCTATAGCACCATCACTTTGAACAATAAAACTAAGATATCAAGCGATCACATCTTTTAATGATTTGATCACTCATAGTTAGAGTTCTGCCACTAGAGCTACTGCTATTAAAATTACATTCCACATATTCAGTCTTAGATCTACTCAAACAAAAGCATTTATACTCTAATCTAAACCACCATAATTCAAGTCTTTCTTGAACTCTCACTAATTTTATCTACAAGAAGGATATCCTCAGCGAAAAACATACACTAAAGTAATTTCTCCTATAAATGTCCAATAAGAGCATTCATAACTAAAGCAAAAAGATATGTGCCTAAAGCCGATTCGTGATGTGCTCCAACTGAAATAGAAAAATACTTGGTCAATCCTCTTGTTTGAACACAATTAAAAGCTCCAGTATACATTCCTTTAATGACTTGAATATAAGCATATCAACACCTTTATTCTCTAAAACTCTCCAAAGGACTTCTCTTGGAACCTTATCGTAAGCTTTTTCTAAATCAATAAAAATCATATGAAGAGTCTACTTATTCCCTCTGTACTTTTCCATCAAATCTCTCAATAAATGAATAGCTTTCATAGTAGACCAGCCAGGCATAAATCCAAATTGACTATGAGAAATCTTGGTAAGAAGTCTTAACCTATGTTCAGTTACCCTCTCCCATAATGTTAAAATATGACACAACAACTTAATTCCTTTATAATTTGCACTCTTGTGCATCCCTTTATTCTTAAAACTGAGACCAAAATACTCTTCATCTACTTCTCAGACATCTTCTTAGTTTTTAAAATAATATAAGAGTTTAGTAATTCAAAAAACTCCCAAATCTCCTAAATATTTTCACACTTCAATTGGGATATCATCAAGTCCTACTGATTTTTCACATTTTATTTTCTTTAAAGTCGTCTCCACTTCTTTTTTATTAGTAAGACGGTAAAAATAAAACATTATATTATTATTAACCGTATTAAGATCACTAAGGTCGATTGTATTTTCAGAAACTTCATTGAAAAGTTTATCAAAATAGTTCACCCACCCATGTTGAATATTTTCTTCTAAGAAAAGCACTTTTTGATTTTTATATTTAATAAAATTTACATGAATTGAATTTTTACTTTTCCTTTCTCTATGTTTGACTAGTTTATAAATATATTTTTAATCATCCTTAATATCTAATATATTATAAAGATCACTAAAAGCATAATTTTTAGCGTCACAAATTGCTCTTTTAGAATCCCTTAGGTCATCTTATATTTTTTTCAATTCTCTAAGTTTTTACATTTAAACCAATTTTTATAACGCATTTCTTATATTTTATATTTTCTTATACATTATTACTAACCATATTAAGTTCACTAATGTGGATTGTATTTTCAGAAACTTCATTGAAAAGTTTATCAAAATAGTTCACCCACCTATGTTGAATATCTTCTTCTATGAATATCTTCTTCTAAGAAATCTTCTAAGAAAAGCACTTTTTGATTTCATCTTTAATAAGCTTTACATGAATTAAATTTTTACTTTTCTTCTCTTTGTTTGACTAGATTATACATATATTTTTCATCATCTTTAATATTTAATTTATTATAAAGATCACTAAAAACATAATTTTTAGCGTCACAAATTGCTCTATTAGACACCCTATGGGTCACCTTATATTTTTCTCAGTTCTCTAAAATTTTATATTTAAATCAATTTTTATAGCACATTGCTTATATTTTATATTTTCTTGCATATTATTATTCCACCAACTACTTTTATTTATAAATTATTTTCCTTTTAATTCTTTAAATACAGCTTTTGTTGCTTTTTTGATAATATTTGTTCTTTTATCTCACATAGAATTTGTTTCTTTATGAATATCTCAAATCTCGAAATCTTAAAGTTTACTCATAAAATTAATTTTATTTGTATTTTTTAGGTGTCCTCATCAAATTCTATGATAATGATTCATAGTGTTCTTTATCTTACAACTCTTCATCTTAAAATTCAGAATTAATAATCGATGTTGAGTACTTAAATTTTCACTTGGAATAACTTTACAATATTTACATTCTCAACGATCTCTTCTTCTCATAAGAAAATAATGTATGTGTTTTATTAGATTCATTTTTATAAATAAAAATATGTTTATTTTTTTTCTTAAATTATTAGCAATAATAAAATCATACGCTAAAACAAAATCTATATGGTTCTGCATTCTTCATTAATTAATCCAAAATCGTACCATGAAAATTTCTAAAATCTTTTATCACTTTACCAACATGTCTATTTAAATAAACAAAAATTAATAATAATAATAATAATATTATGTAATTAAAATTTTGTAACATAAATCCTGTGTTTATTTTAGGTTTCTAATTTTAGAAAAATCGATATGAAGGCAAATCAAATAACAAATTAATTGACAATGAGGTGAGCACTTGTACTTTTAATCTTATGATAATATTTTATTTCTTCTCAGTCATTTTGGAGTTAATGGATGGTTGGAACTACAGATGAACAGCAATTAGATGTTCCATGCAGCAATAGCGAGGGGGAATGTTGGCGGCAATGACAGAGAATACAGTGGACTGCAGGACAGCAATAAGAAGGTTGTCTATCAGGGTAGTAGCAAGGAGATGGCTTGAATTGGAAAAACTACAGTGAAAATAGCATTGAAGGCTTTCGG